ATTTTGATGATTGTTGTTAACGATTATTTTGTGATAGTGTTATTCTTGGAAGCGTAGGTACATATTATCGATATTCTGTTATTAAAATAATTCACTACGAGATTTTTATTATTTTTACTATTTCAAGTTTACCTACAAATAAAAAAAGAAAATAGAACGGTTGGAAATCATATATTGAATCAAAGACCATCTTCATTTATTCGCTTCATTTTGAAGAGTCAAATTTTAACATAACTTTGAATGTAACTAGATTACATAATAATGCGATTTCATCATTAGGTTTATTGGGAAATAATTTTATATTTAATTTAGATTAAACACGACTAATTTACTAGGCATTCTCAGTTCCGGAAAACAAAATTATCCACTCGTTTCCGATTTTTTCCCACTGACAACTCTAACTACTAAAAATTCTTATTTTGTAAAGCCAGCAATACAAAGAACATGTTGGTCTAACGTTGCCGGGTGAAGGCCAATACCAACGTATAGACAGCCTATTTGCCTTGCCTTGCCTTACCATCGTTCGGTGTCACTCGCCTAGCTGATCGAGTGAAGGCGAGCGCTAACGTGTATAGAGCTCGTTTGACGTGGCTTGTCACAAGTCGCAGTCGCTACTTGTCTACTACTTTCGTTACTACTTGTCTCATTTCGGAGAAGTGTCGATTTTTCTGCACAAATCGAAGGCGCTCAACGAATAGTAGTCAATTGACATTGTATAATTAGACATTTGCAAGCTATTTAATATACGCGAAACATGTTTGTACTAACACTATATCTTATTACATCTCCTATTATACCATGTTTTAAGCAAATAAACGAATGATAATAATATTATTATTGATAATATTACTACTTTCGTTTATTTCCAAAATTAAATGGAAGTATTAAAGATTCACTTAAATCAGCACTAATATTAATTCTATACCAATGCATAAATACAAAAAAAAGGCTTACACTATTCGGAATCTGTTTAAAAATTTCTCTATGAAAATATGAATCTTGAGGTTGGAAATGTACAGGATTTATATTTCAAAGTTTTCTCTTTTTTATATACTCTCAAATTACAAATATAATTTTTTTCTGTGCAAATTCACTTTTCGTAATATTTGAGTATTTGTAAACGCAAAATCCACCTCTAAGGCTAAGCCGCTTCAGAACTATATAGGCTAACCATATTTTTTTATTAATGATGTTTCATAATATATAATTTGTAAGACGCTGTTACAAAGAATAATGGCAAAATCGTACTTAAAATAATTCGTTAGCGTCTTCAAATGTCTTAATTACAGTGTTTTAAATTATAATAGATGCCTATCTAAGTCTGGAAATAAAATCATATTTAAAAGAAACTCTAATGACTAGTTAGTAACTGCCTCCGTGGCCGAACGGTTACCATGCCGGACTGCCACGCAGAGGTCCCAGGTTCGATTCCCGGGCCGGGAGAAATAGTTGTATGGCCTACAATTATTTCTCTCGTGAGTTTGGGTGTAATTTGTGGTTGTCTATGTGTGTGTCCATGGCACCCGCGACACAGGGTTTCCCTAGTGCGGGGCTATGTTGAGTGTGTGCGTTATTATTATTATTATTATAGTATGTAACCGGACGGATATCTACAACTATCAGTTTCTTAGTTTCTTAACGTTGAGAGACATCTAGCCGCCAGAAAAGGAATTTCAGTACATATGGTCCACATTTAGTTCACGTAATATCAAATATACTAATTCGACCGATTTGTAGTATCTAATAAAATATTAACTACTTCATTAGTCGATAATTTATTTTCCAAAATGCCACGCGGAAAATGGTAAAACCATAGATATAGAAAAAAAAGGGGAGATATGGTATGGGGGCGTGATTCGTGTCGCCTCGATATGGTTAGAATGACCATATCGAGGTGACACGCCTACAAACATCGCCACAGTGACATGGCGATCGTTGTACATCTCTCGTGAAACGTGAAAATGACAAGTTGTAGCGATACACCTTGTAAAAATTGGAGTGAAAACAAAAATTTTAAAACCAGTGAGATAACATTCCACCGGCTATTTGCATTTTTAGTTACTATTTCTATTATTATTCAATGTTTTCTTTTTGTCTCCATAGAAATTTCTAGACTCAAATATAGTGATGTTCATTTACGAAGACTGATGTTTATCGACAATAAATGTTTACTGAAATGTTTGAATTTATTTTCTTACTATGATTTTTGTAATTAAAGTCCCTAAAATATCGAAGCGAAAAGCATTCACGTAAAATTAATTTCTTTTATTTTATTATTATTATTATTATTATTATTACTAAACATTTTATTTCAAGTAACTTTAACACGTTACATTTACATTAGTTACATTTTAAAATTGTTTTACGTCGTTTTCACGTTTTAAGCCCTACCCAATCAAAATCTTTAAGTTATGGTAGTAAATAATAGAGCGTAAAGTTTGAATTGCACACAAGCTAAAAAGTGGCGACATCGGCACCCGATCTTACATAGCGTCATTACATATCTCCCCTTTTTACTATATCTATGGGTAAAATTGACAAAAAAGTTCCCAAAATCAGGGATATATGGCACGATTCACAAAAAAATAATTTGTGTCCGAGTTACTGTCGCAATAGTGTGTGGTATATTATTAATTAAGTCAGGATTCGCTCTGGACCTTTTGGAGGGAAAAGTGTCGTTTTTATTTTGACTTTCAATTATTTTGTGAAATCTAGTTTAAAGCGGAATAGGATAGTGCTATTGTGCCTTAATCGAAGATTAAAACGCGAAATTATACGAATCTCGAACCAAAATACCCGTATCGGCCCGTTTTAAGGAATCCCGAGTCAATCCAAGCACTCAAATTGCCTATCCTCTTTGTGGCGACCATATTTACAGAAACATTAATTAAACTTCATGTTTAGACTGACTAATGGCTTTGCCAAAGCCTTAATTAATTAAAAAAATATATATTATGTCAGTTTTTTGGAATGGCTTAACTTCATGGTTTTTGACCACACCAGTATACAAAATAATTTCCTCTGAACTTTCGTCACGACGTAAACCCACAGCACCATTCAGGTTCTATTAACTCTGTTTAAGGCTTCTATGGTTTATTTTGATATAAAAATGCACCGAATATATTTTATTCAATTACGTAACACATAACCTCCAAAGCTTCAAACTGGAATATCTTTAATTCCTGATTTCTCAGAATAGTAAACCTAAAACAAAATTTGTTTAGGAATTTCAACTCTATATCTTCACATATTTTTCATAAACAGACGCATGCAAATTATGTCAACAAAAATTTGTATGGGACTTTGCCATTGTCCTTTACGTCGTTTTAAATTATACCAGTCAGTCAAACTGGTTAAGCTAAGTACAGAATATTTACATAATGCGGAAAATAATTGTAACTAGAAGATTTAGATTGATTTTGATTTAGATTTCGTTGCGCAGCAAGTAACTTTACCCTGTTGGCATATCGTTGAATGTTCAATACCATCAATACCTGTTATTGCAAGTTACGACGTTTTGATATTGTATTGAAATTTCAGTCAATGTGCTGCCATCTAGCGGTTAATTGCTGAACGACGACGAGTTGGAGTTATTAATTTAGTTCTCCAAAAAACAAGCGACCGTATGGCAGTGTGCTATACTTTCGTTTCCTGTAACAAAAAGAATATTTCGGCAAACAAAAAACTGAATATTTATTACAATAAGACTTTCCGATGATATGAAATACCATCACGGGTAATATTTTCGGTGCGACTATAATTTTTGCACTTGAAAACAGCACAATAAGGTATTTTTCTAGGATTTTACAGAATTTGCACGAAAGAATGACAGAACCATACCATACAAAGCGAAAATGGCGGACTGAGCACAGATAGGTCTTTCGAGACCTGTAGTGGGCACGCGTCAGACGCTAACCTTTTCTACTCTATTTATTGTGCTGTAGTTGTAGATATAAAGTATCAAAAATTAGAATTACGCGTCGCGTGGTGCGTTGAAAAGGCGCGCCACTACAATTTAAAATTACAATAAAAGACAGAAATAAGCTATAGCTGACAAGCAATGTTCGCCATATGATGGAATTACGTAAGTCGGCTCATACTAAATATAAGAAATTCAAAACTGACACGAAAAAGAAAAACTATTAAATGCTTAATTAAACATTATTTGAGTTTCTTCTTTGAGCAAAATGCATATTTCTCACATATACGTAGGATATTTTTTTCAATTTTGAAGAGGACCACTATAAAATGCAGTAGAATTGAGAACCTCCTCCTTCTTTGAAGTCAATTAAAAATGAAAGAAATAACCTGGATTACTTGATTTCAAACCAAATAGTCTGTGTAAATAGTAGTATGAGTACCGGAGCAAACGGAATTGATTTCGGGGCACTACCCTGTACATCCAGACCACGAAGAGGTCCTAGGTTCGATTCCCGGGCCGGGAGAAATATTTGCATGGCCTACATTTATTACACTCGTGAATTTGGGTGTAATTTGTGGTTGTCTATATGTGTATCCGTGGCACCCGCTATACAGGGTTTCCAAAGTGCGGGGCTATGAGCGTGTGCATTATTATTATAATTTTAATGACCCTGGCCAAATAAATAGACACTTTCTTAACATACCAGCACTCCTAGTGTTGAAACCTTATCATAGAACAGTTCTTTGATTTAAATCCAATCGACCCGCCCGCCCGTCCGCCCGTCCGCCCGTCCGCCCGTCCGCCCGTCCGCCCGTCCGCCCGTCCGCCCGTTCGCCCGTCCACCCGTCCACCCGTCCACCCGTCCACCCGTTCACCCGTCCACCCGTTCACCCGTCCACCCGTCCACCCGTCCACCCGTCCACCCATCCGTTGTGTCGTTAGGAAATGTTTACAATTTTGCTAAGAATTATGTACTCGTACACTGACAATAAGTTAGTTGTGATAAGTTAGATACTTAAGTACGGGGTACGTTGTCTCAACGTGGCCGTAGCTACAACAGGCGCTGGTTCGTATCCAGTCGAAACAATGTAATTTTGCATTGTGTTTATTCAGTCTTTGTTTCCGTAATAATAAGAAACTAGTGGAGTATTTTCACAACAAATATGTATATGAAAATCATTCAAATCAAATCAAGGTTTATTATTTAATTGGAAATAGATTTGTAACAAATCATGGACTGCAAAGTTACAAACTATAAGAAGTCTGGTGTTTCTGTCTCTGATTCTTCTACTACCGATTCTTTATTTTCAGCTGTATTTAAAATTGCAGGCTCACACGTAATGTTCTGAGTTTTTAAATTATCCGAAAATTCCCACGAATCTTTAACAATTGCGTTACAATATAAATTAGTGTCTTGGTGATTATCTGCGTACTCGGTATTAAATGTAACTCTGTACAAATATCCGTCGTCGATCATTCTTTCAGCTTTAATAACGTTATGAAAAGCAAAGCTGTCGAATGCAGGTTGCATTGTTTTGTAAAAGGCAAAAGCTGCTTCACAAACCCTGATAACTTCACTATCATTCAGAGGTACTTCAGTATACTCGGCGGTCTCCATCTGAAAAAAATAAACAAAATTGTCAATTGTAATTTCTATATTTTATCCCAAGATGTTTTAATGTGATATTATAATTAATTTACATGAATGCTAACAGCATTCACTTAAAGAAATTTATTTAACATTTCTACATGCTTCTTCATTCCTAATGGCTGCATTTCATTACCTACTAACTCAGCAGTAACCTGTGTTTCTACTGTATGCGAGGTAAGGATTATTGAAAACCGATCTCTAGCTACTTAACCTCTACCTGTAGTCGACATTAGAAAAGGTAAAAATTGTTTCCACGATCGTATAATATCATCATTGTAACGTGTTGATGCAACATGACATCTTAAGTTTTTCTTTTTTAATATCAAGTGACGGGACGAACAAGTCGTGCACCTAAAGGGAAGGTACACGCCTGTCCAGAACAGTTGCATTACAACTTAAAACTTTAAATCGCAAAGATCTGAGGGGCACTGCTACTGCGCCCGTCACCCTGACATTACTGCTTGGTGGCAGAAATAGGTAAGGTGGCAGTACTTCCCTGGACGAACCCTTTCACAAGGAGCTTTTCTACCGCTACATAAAATAGGTCACTGGATTGCGTATTGAAGGAAATGTTGAGTAGGCATAAGATTCTTTATATAGTAATTTAATTATTAATTCTATTTGCACCATGAACGAATAAAAACACTATCTAATACTGTCGTGTTCCACTATACGTCGCTAACCAGATGACATCCTAACATCGAGTATATAACCAGAAATAGAGACAAAATGTCATTTAATTTGTATGAAAACTATTCTGCCAAATCATTACGGTGACAACTGCGCTCCGATTGGTCAGCCCGAATTCGAAACAACTAACGGGTGTTGTCAATTGTTTCACTTCAAATCGACCAGTTTAACTTAAGCTTTGCTATAATGGACGAAAATTGAAAAATTACATATTTAATATTTAATTACCGATGAAATGTGATTCCGCATATTTTGTAATTAGGTCTTTTGCAGTTTTTCCCACACTACCTTATGAAACAACCCCCCATATTTAGAGAAATTGTCTTTATTACAATAAATACAGAATATTTTTGAAATATACACAGACGTGCACACAGATCAGTTGTTGACGCTGTATTATTTCAGCTTTTTAATTTGTGATATCAGTGCAAACGAGATAAAGGCCCATTTGCCTGATGATTTGGCCCTTATTTCGAATCTATTTCTGGTTATATAGTCGATGCATCCTAACTACCTCACTGCACAACCAAAGTTATATGAGGTCGTCCATCATTTTGCCATTCTTTCTTTATTGCGGCTTAATTTAGTAATCTGCTTTCGTGTACGTTTGGTACGCTAACTGAACCTGTAGGGTTTCTTCAGTATATTTGTAACTATACTGAAGAAACCCTACAGTTTACAAAAAACTTACAATAGACTGATGTTTATTGTAAATTTTATATAAAAGCCGTCTATATTCGATGAAAAGGTCGCTATATAAATGAGAATCTATGCACTAGACGCCATAATTCATAACTTCATAAACATTTGTCTGTTCTAGTCCTTCTATGTAGAATCGGAGAGGTATTAACCATAAATACACGAATATTAATACTAAACGCATTCAGTCATGACTAGTGTGGGTCATGGGAAAATTTCTTTTTTGAGAAAATCATATTTTTCATTATTAATTAAAATAAAAATATATAGTAAAAATACAGGAAAATTGTCCGGAAAAATTAATTATTTTCTGGATATTTTTACTTTATTTTATCACATTTCACCTGTCAAAAGTTGAAGTTACTGAACGAAAAATATGGAGCCAACGAAATGGATTTTTCCGGATAAATTTTCACTATTTGAAATTTTCCGGAAAATGAATCACATAGCCAGTCTTGAGTACTGTCGAGAGTCATGACTGACTGTGTTCATAATCTTCTTTATGCCAAATACTAGCAATAGATACAAAACTCATTATCTGTATGGAATATATTAAAGACTTCGATACGCCTTAAAATTTTCATGAGCATAATATATGAAAACGCTAGCTGCCAATTGCTTTTGGAGATTGGAGTTCGTAATCCGAAACGCGTTCGTTATTGCGATTTTTATGATCCTTGGACTATCAGACTTCTTTTGCACCGCTCTAATCAGAAGTAAAATTCAGTTATTCAGTTATTTGGAACCCTTTCAAGAAAATCCAAAAGACGTTCTTGAGATTCTTTGTATACGTTTTCTGAATGCTACTCATTTTTATACTATTAAATTATAATATACCCTACTAAATCTCTCCTAGGCGTCTTGAAAGTTAATTCGTCAGAGACAAGACGTAATTATGGACTATTGACTATTGCTGATGCTACCAGAGTGAGATTCGCGTTGTCCAAAATTGATGACGCAATTGGTATGCCTGTTGGTCCCCTTAATTTAGCCACCATTTGCTGGTAATTCGGACTGTACGCACTGTGTCTCACAGTAAATCACCGCTTGTTCGAGCTCTGCAGTAATTTATTGCATATTGCATGCACTCGTCTTAAAAACCTGCGCCACTGTGTAAATTCAGATACTCATGGGGTATCGCAGTCTGTGCGAATTAATAATACCTTAATTAAATTTTATTGAATTGATATTCAATTATTTTTTGTGAAATTACTCCACTAGTTTGTTATAATTATTCATACAAAAAAGTAATAGATTTCTCATAGATGGCGCTACGACTAAAAAGTCGTTGAAAGACCAAGACAAAGACACGACGCAAGCACATAGAAAAATTCGTGAGGTCCGTTGGTTCGTTCCGTGGCTTAGTTGGTATAGCGTCTGGCACGGTATGCAAGAAGACGTCGGTTCGAATCCGACCGGATCGAAGGTATTTTTTCTGAGTGTTCGATCTTTGTATTAATAATTATAACAAACTAGTGGAGTAATTTCACAAAAAATAATTGAATATCAATTCAATAAAATTTAATTAATACAGTGAATAGCGACATCTCTCGCCAGGACTGGTAGCTGTAAAGGTACTAACTGGGTGATCAATCTGTAATAGATTTCTCATAGATGGCGCTACGACTAAAAAGTCGTTGAAAGACCAAGTACCAAGACACGACGCAAGCACATAGAAAAATTCGTGAGGCCCGTTGGTTCGTTCCGTGGCTTAGTTGGTATAGCGTCTGGCACGGTATGCAAGAAGACGTCGGTTCGAATCCGACCGGATCGAAGGAATTTTTTCTGAGTGTTTTTTCTGAGTGTTCGATCTTTGTATTAATAATTACAATAATATCTTATTATATAGCGGGCGGTGCAGGACTTGTCTACTGCCACTTGAACGCGCACAATGGGTGGTGTTGAAGATCCCATCATGTTTTTACGCCAAGAGGCTATTCCACTGTCAAGCTATACTCTAAAACGACGGTTCTTACATAGAGGCAATTGTACACACAAAAATGTGTATTGCACCGCCATTTATCTATATCCCACTCTACCCAACTCTCTTATTTTTTCTTTTTTTTTTTGGGAGACTACAGAGGTTCCCAGTAAATCATGTAAAAAGGAGTAGCACTACCTTTGCTCGTAGACACTTCGTAGTATTAAGTTCAAGACTATTCAATAACATCAACAAATCTCTAAAAGGTTATTTATATAGCACTCATATCCACACAATTCCACACACATACTAACACATACACATACACACAAACACACACACACACACACACACACACACACACACACATTTTAATTATGTGATAAGAGAACAATCATAGCCCTATGTTTTTTTTAATAATACCAAGTCACACAACAGGGACGAACAAGTCGCCTGGTAATAAGCGACACGCCTGTCCATAATAGTTGCATAGCCAGTCAGGGGTTCAAACCGCAAAGATCTTAAAGGCACTTGCCACTGCGCCAGTCACCCTCCCTTACCCTTCTAAACCTCTAAATCACAACCAAAACTTTCTGTTTTTATTTAAGTGTTGTAAATTCATCATTCATCAATCATAATGTCTTGTACCTTGTTTTGTTCTTTTAAATAAATTATTATTATTATTACCTATTTTAGACTCTCGCCTCTCCCAAGGCCTAAAATATTAATTTTGAATTATTAAATGGGAGATTCTGTATTCCCCGACAATAGCACAGTCGGCCGGGGTCACTGACTCAGGTTCAAGAACCGGCGAACAATACGTACCGTGTCGAGCAGGACCACCTACTGGCTGCAAGCGACACCCCACAGAAATCCGACCGCCTCAAGCTGTTAGCAAGGCTGACTGGAATTAACCCATTTCCGGACAAAACAATTGGGATTATTTCAGTGGAGGCTACATCCCACATGTCGGTGATCTCGCGCCAGATCTAGATACTTCCGGCGTTTCTCGGTTTCGGCTTTCACGAGACCCTCGTCATGCGAGATGGTAACGTCTACAAGAAATACCCATCGATCCATTATCACAATATCAGGCTTATTCGCAAGAATAGTCCTGTTTGTGATAATAGATCCGATCCCAATAGATTTTGGTGCGGTCATTTTCGAGTATTGTCTCCGGCGAATACTTGTAATATGGCATCCTCTGTTGCACGAGTCCGTACTTCAGAGCGAGCTCGTGGTACTATTATTATTATTTTCGTGTTTATTTTAAACTCTCGCCTCTCCCAAGGCCTAAAAGACTAATTTTGAATTTTTAAATGGGAGAGGCGGTATTTCCCGGCTATGGCACAGTCGGCCGGGGTCAGGGACTCAGGTCCAAGAATCGGCGAACAATACGTGCCGTATTGAGCAGGACCGCCTTCTGCAATTGTGCTGGAAGCGACACGCCACAGAAATCCAACCGCCTCAAGCTGTTAGAAATGCTGACTGGAATTAACCCATTTGCGGACAAAACAATTGGGATTATTTCAGTGGAGGCCACATCCCACATGTGGGTGATCTCGTGCGCCAGGTCGAGATACTTCCGGCGTTTCTCGGTGTCAGCTTTCACGAGACCCTCGTCATGCGGGATGGTCACGTCCACAAGAAATACCCTCGACTGCGATCGGTCCAATATCACAATGTCAGGCTTATTCGCAAGAATAGTCCTGTCCGTGATAATAGATCGATCCCAATAGATTTTGGTGCGGTCATCTTCGAGTATTGGCTCCGGTGAATACTTGTAATATGGCAACCTCTGTTGCACTAGTCCGTACTTGAGAGCGAGCTCTTGGTGTAATATTATTATTATTATTATTATTACTTACGTAAACCGGCGACCAAAAATTAACGAGGACTGTTAACGGGACAACAATTGCACTTATACAATCCATAATAGCTCCCTGGATGCAATTCAATAATTATCAATAATCGCTTATTAAAACTACTACTTAAGAGAATCTGTACTGTTTTATTAATATGCAATTTATAAACGCGTTATAAAATATCCAATTCAAAATTAATGTTTATTTTAACAGTCATTGTATTAATATTCAATTAATAATCGTAATATTCAATTATTTGTTATTTATGCGCCGTAATTTAATGTAGAGAAAATTAAATTACAATGTACGTCTATTAAAACAAATATAAGCATGTACCCATTGACTTACAA